CGGCTTTCCCTCAACAGCACCATCTGGAGCTTAAAGCAATTAAAGGAGGCCTCAGTCAAGGAGAGGAGCAGCGCTGCGGTTTCTTCCCTGCTAACAGCTCTGGCGGAAAATTAAGAGGAAAAAAGAGAGGTAACGAGCACAGAAGCACAGCAGAGGAACAGACCTTACTCACTATAGGCAGGCCCCTTTACTTCCAACTGTGTCCTCAGGGAAACAGCCAGGTCAACAGGGCATGACGCGGCCAGAAAATAGCCCATGTCACTTCATCCACCACAACAAGCTCCCTCCCCATGCCCTGGAGACGGGCCACCAGGCTTCACCTAAGAGCACCCACCATAAAAAGGCCGGTTTCCTGACAGATTTCAGGGTGTCTCACCTTAATCAAGGGTCTCTTCCGCCTACTGCCAGAAGACATGAAAAGCAGTGCAATCCAGCTAGTCTTGGGGCCAACCACTGCAAAACCCTGGGGTTGCATCGCCCAGCCTCTGTTACTCCTATTGGCCACTGCGTTCCCTCGAAGCACAACAGACTGGGCTTTTCCTTCCAGTGGAAATTTCATCATCAATTAAGATGTGTGAAATAAGGCAGCCTAAATTCATAATCTCTTCTCCTTGCTGGTGTAGATACAAAAACATCTAGCAGGGAGGGAGCAAGGCTTGGAGTCCACGCTCCAAAGACTGTTCTTCAGGTATACAGCGGAAGACATGACGGAGAGAGAAATCAGTGCATTTCGAAAGCACTCAGCGCAACAATCCCACTGTTACAGTTTTTCATTTGTGTCTTCTTACAGTGACAAACTAGAAGGGGTTTTTGCAGCAAATTTTATTCTAACTCTTCCATGATTCCCCTCCATCCTCCCAAATAAAAATCTCATGCCACTAATTAAAAAAATAGTCATGCTCTCTGGCCACCTCACACAGTTCCCCTGTGTGGTTTTCTTCTGCCTCACCTCCCCTGACACAGGCTTTTCCAACAGTGAAAAGGGAAATTAGTGAGCAGAAAGGAAAAACTCATGGAAAGAAGATGAAGTGAGGAAAGAGGAGGAAAAATGTGAATTTCATCCTTTCAGTACGGAAAAAAAAAAACCCTCAAAATTTGAGGGGAGTGAGTCTCAAAGAGTACAAAATAATCCACAGGGCATCTTTCACAGGACTATCTGTCACTGCTCAGTTGATTATCTCCCTGCTCCTCTCCATTGCAAAGAAAGCTGTAGAGTCTCTCCTGGCATAGGAGGGAAAAGGGGGAAAAACATTTGAAGAAAGAAAATGATAAAAATAGGATATAAAAAATAGGTGTCAAAAGAAAAGAAAAACTGCACTTTCCTGCTGCGGAAGCCAGAATGGACTCTCCTAAGAGGACAAAGCTCCAAATTCTGTTACGCATTCCCTGCTTCTACAAGTAAAAGACCTTCAGCACGATCAAATAATAACATAAAGCAACTGACCTAACAGGGAGGTACTTTGCCTAGTAATTTGCAACAACATAGTCACAGCAAAACAGCCGCAGTGAGTAGAAAGGGGCCTGTTATACAAAGCAAAAATCACAGCCAAAATGTAACAGGTCAGCCAAGCAGCAGTGATCTGCAGCCCCTCCATCACGCCCAGGTGGGGAGGAAACCTGCAGCAAAGCACTTTCTAAACCCATGAGAATTTGCAGTCTGTGCAGACAAAGGGAGAGAGAGAGAGATCTACGGCAGGGAGCTATAACAGGGCAACGGGGCACCTTTTGCTTTCCACATAAATAAGGATCAAGCATCTTCACCCCCATTTGGCACTGAGTAAGCTGAGACACTGCTATGATGGTGCCTCAGCTACAGGTCTTTGAGGCCTGTTCAGCCTCCTGGTCCAGCTGTGTACCTGAGTGTGATCCTGGCACTGTACTGGAGCAACGACTGAGCACGCACCAGTCCTTTGCCTGGCGGAAGGAGATGTGGGAGCTTTCTTTCCCCAAAGGAAGACCCTCTGTATGTCCTGTCTCCCATCTAGATGAACAGGGACTGGACCAGGAGGGTGTCCCAGAGGCCATTTGTCTCTCCATATAGACATCTTCCCTGTGACTTCGCTGCAGTCTGCTTGTCAAAGCCATGTCAACAACTTAGCCGCACTACTCTTTTAGCAACACTAGATGTGCAGCGCCTGCAAATGGGTGCACATAGCGTGACTGATGCTTCCTTAAAATTAACCTCAGACATGATGTCACAGCAGGAGGAAATCAACAGTGGCCAGGGCACGAGCTGAGGCTGTCGGAAGTTACAGCAAGGAGGTCATGCCATGCTCAGGGGCCCTGGGCAATGGAGGTCCTGCTTCTTGAATCTCTCCGGTACTACAAACCGATATCCCAACAGCCAGGAGCTGGGGATGAGCAGTCCTGGACTCTAATGCAGCATCTTGCCTACTAAGACCTGCTGCACCCTCCTGCCTCCTGCTCTCACCACTAGCCACCCGTTGCTCTCAGTGCCAGAAGCAGAACCGGGTGTCCATATTCGCCAACTTCTACTGCAGCTGCTGAAGACAGTCAGGGTATGGGAAGGGCAAGGTGCGCTACTTCCTTTGGGGTCCACAACAGGCCACCACGTTTGGCCTGACCAGCTGCAGCCGTTTTTCAGCTCTTCCTTCCCAGCCTTTTGCCGTCATGGGAGATCCACATCTCGCAGGCACCCACTCCTACCTGCTGGCCAGTGCGGCTGTACGGCCTGCGGCCGCCAACCCACAGCGCTGGAGGCAATCGGTTAGCCAGCCCCCTACACGCCACTGGAAAGGGGTCTGGGAAGGTAGGTCCTTAATTCTCCATGCCCAGACCATGTCTTTATTTCAGGACAGCACCACAGCATCGCTGACAAGCTGGAGTGCTGATACCCAGCAGCCGTGTGCTGGCATGTGTCAGCTTTCTAAAATTGGCCTGATGGGGGGAAGTCGCCAAGACCTGGAAACTTCAAAGGCAAGTTCAGGGCACTGAGCACCTGACAAGTGGAGTCACCCCAGCTTGGCTGAATCAGGCCCACAATAAACAAGCAAGATCATGACATCTTCATAAAAGTAGGATTTAAGTACAAACATCTGCCCTGCTGTTTTTTAATTAAGACAGTTTATAGCTAGGTATTTGTTTCAGTAATCCATGGCTCGGGCTGCAGAAATGCCAAGCATATTCTAATTACAGCAGCTAGTTTATTTAACAGAGTTTGACATTGTTTGACATTTAGCTGAGTCACCTTGTTCCTCGGTAATGCAACAAGGGCTTTTCAGCAGTTCAACAAGAAAGAGGCAGAGATTTGATATCAAAAGTAGAATGTATATCACAGATATTTTAAATTAAATATGGCTGAGGTCTATTCAGTTCTGGTAGCTCTTCTTTTTGGGACGCTAAGTCAGCCCAAATGTCTTCCAGATACAACCCTTCCCCTCAGGGACACCCAGCAGTACCATCTCCATCAAGTTCTTGGAGGGTGGGAAGAGTGAGAAGTGTTGTAATGGGCACATGGGACGTACCTCATCCTCCACAAATTTCACCCACCCATATATCAGGATATGCATCACTGAGAACTGCAAGCAGACTCTTAAGTATTGCTGAACTGGATTCAGCCAATATTTTTCTAGGACAAAGCAGAATAAACTGGCCAGTGACTGTCATTACAGAAGGAACAACTGTTATCTGCAGACACAGATGCTCCTACAGCACCTCACCTAAAGTCATTTGTACTTCTGTACAGTGTTTTTCATGGATCTCAAAACACTTTCTAACAAGAAGGGCAGGCCAGCAGTACCTGTCCTCATTGTACAGACATTTCACAAACAAACTTGGCTAAGAGTTTGCTGGTGGCATGGCTGGATAGACCGCCCAAACTTGGACACCCTTCCCCATTCCAGTTGGGAACGGACAACAACATCACCTCCCCCTGGCTGCAGCAGGCATGGACGCAGCAAAGTGACCTGAGGAGAGCAAACCCTGGTCCTGGGGCTGTTTTCCAGAACGCCTGTGGAGGCTATGAGGCTGCCGCGCTGTCCTACTGTGGCTCCGATGCTTGCATCACGTATTTGCACTGCTCGTTTCCAGGTCCCTGCTTCCCTGCTAGCCCTGGAGCTGTTCTCACCACACATCTGGAGCAGCTGCTCTGCCTAAAAACAGTGTCGGGGACCGCAGCATGTTCCTGGAGAGAACTAAGCCCTCCCACCCCGGCTTCACTTTACAGACCTTTGGGGAAGAGCTGGGATCTCCTTTTTATAGTTAAAGACAGAACGAACCTTTTAACAAGCTGAAAATACTCCGTTTATCCTGACACTCAGTGCAGTGAGCCAAACCTTAAACCAACAGCCAGAACCGTGCAGCCAGACAATAGAGAGCTGGCCGGAGCGTGCCTCCCCAAGCGCACGCTGCGGTCTGGCTCGTCTCCTCCGTGCCATCCCTGCAGTCGCTGCTGGAAGTAGTTGTATGCAAGTGTGTTCAGTTACCCTGAGGAGAGGATATCTATCATGTACAGCTCCTCTCAGAGAGCTGTACATCAGGCCAAAGAGATATTTACTTATCTTTTTGGCCAGCTCTGCAGAAATCCCTGTTTGCATTTAAGCTTCCCTCAGTTTCCTTTATAACTCAGTAGCAGCCCTAATTATTCATTCCTTATTACACAGCAATAGTGTCCGCAAAGCCACGGCACCAGAAATGAGGACAACAGCACCTCTGGCCTCCAGAGGCCTCTCGGTCTGCAGGCCAGGCTCAAGCTGTGCAGTTGCACCCCAAAGGGAGAGCCCCTCGGAGCCACCGAATCCCTTTGTGCAGCAACCCAAACCTAAACAGCTGATGCAAGATCCCTTGGGAGCCCTAAAGACAATGCCAGTTATTTTGTCATGTGGAGACCAGGTACCACAGGCCAGCATGTGTGAGCTCCCTTGGAAAAGGAATTTGTAAGACTAGTACCTAGTACAAAAGGTACTAGAGAAGGTAGCTGGGGAATGGCAACCCCCAACTGCTCTCACCCATCTCATTTAGGGCCTTTGCCATGACATTACCTGGTAGGAAAGGGATGATTCTTTGCTTGGGGTCTTTCTGGCCGCCTTCAATAGGGAACTTGTCCAGAAGCTGCATCTGCAAAGGAAACAACAAACGTCTTAGGTGGGAGACGTGGACAGGCTGCGCGGGGAGAGGGGATTTCTTGGTCTGTGTGTAGTTTGAAAGAGGATTAGCAAAGCAAAGCAACTGCAGGAATCACTGTGCCTGCTTGCAGGGGAGCCTGTACATAAAAAGGTATTGCACAGTTCACTCCAAGAAAGGGAGGGCAAGTTTCTGGCAGTGCACAGCAGTTGGGACAGGGCCCAGGCAGACATCTGAGCTTGGCCTTTCTGCGGCTCTAAAATTAGGCTCTCATCCTTCATTACAAAACACACGCTTCGTCTCTAATCCACAGTCTGCCTGGGTTGGTGGAGACATAGTTTTTACCTGCCCGTATGACAGACCACCCACCTGGCTAAAACTGCTGTTGAATCAACCAGCTTAGAGGTTATTTAAGAAAACACCCGATCTATCTTCTTTCTGGCAAGGCATGCCAACTGCCCTGTTCCATTAAGAGCGTTCCTGCTTTCCTAGGAATAGACAAATGGGCTTTAGGGAAATATCTTCCACTGCAGTCCCTACATGGAGGACAGCAGCAGAGAAAGGGCAGCAGGGAGAGAGCCTTGAGAGAACAGAGCATCCCAGAGGGCTACAATAGCGGGAACTACCAGAAGGCACATAGCAAAGGCCCACGGTGGGCATGTTCTCAGCCCATGACAACCACCCTCGAGCACATGGATCTGGACCACTTGAGCAAGAGTTTCACCGACATCAGCTAAGATCTCGCCTATCACCTCCTAAACTTTGTGCAATACAATGACTTCTTTCTAGTACACCGTTGTACTGAGCTGTAGATTCATTTCTATATACCATTTCCATACACCATAGCTAATACAGCTGTGCTAAGGGCAAACTAAGATCAAAATCCCATTGTACTATGGAGCCACCACTAGCCTTTATCTTGAGAAGCTCAAAGGAGTCTTGACAGCTATAACCAACATGCACAATGGAGCAGACTGCTGACCATCAGTGCGTTTTTGTGGAGCATGCCTAGGGAAACAGTATGCTGATCTGACATTCCTCAATGAGCCTTTGCAATCTCTGTTCAGGTCACAAGCCTGGACGTACTGGTGCCAGTGAGGCTGAGGGTAGGCCAAGAGGCCATACGCAGACTCATTCAGAAGGGATGAAGCACTTGCTCCAGTGACATCTTCATGAGACTGCCCAGGGGAGCCCATCTCCAGCCCTGAAAACCAGCAGAGCCTCTCACCTTCCCATTCACCCTGTGCATCCTTTTGCTGCCATTCAGCTCATGGTGCTACCAAGATAAATACCCAAAGCTTCATATTCTGCTTCATTTTCTTCCACATCTGAGACATAAAATTAAATGCTCTACGTCTGTGCTGTTCCTATACAGCAGCCCCTGCTCACTGTGGCTGGGGGATGACCTTGCTCAGGAAACAGAGAAGCTGCTTTTTTGGGGTCTCATCAAAGGTTTCGCTAGCCAGGGTCCCATTTCCAACAGACCAGGAGAGACGTTTTTCAACCTGCAGTCCACAGCCCACAGGCTCACCTCGGAGAAAGATACGTAAGGAAAGCAAGCCTTGTCAACAGGCTTTCATTCACTCAACAAGGCTCTTCACCTCCACTACAAAACAGTTTTGGGGGCAAATGGAGTTGAATAGTCTTGCCAGAGAGTGGAGGAAAAGGGCATGGCTACAGTGCTCCTGTTACTTGACCCTGCAGGACCCCTATCTCCTCACCTGCACTGGATCTACAGCTCGATACAAATCCCTGAAGTGGCAGCAAAAGCTACCCTGGGGGGACTCTTCAATCAGCATTTAGTCTTAGAAATGCTACGTGCCCAAAAGCGAGGATGTGTGAGTTAACATTTTTGCTACCTTAACAGATTTCCTTTAAAAAATATTTTTTTGCTAACATGGGAAAAAACAGTTAGGATTTCTTTGCTGTTTTTGTTTTAAACACACAGAATCCTTCTCTTCCACCACGCAGAACATCTCCAGCATTTTAACCATATGGTACAGCAAACCAAAGATCAAGAGGAAACTCGGGAGTAGAAGGAACATCTGTGCAGAAGAAAAAGTTAAAAGATCCCACATGTTTCCCCATCAGGGAGTCAGCCTGGTAAATAAATAGACCGTAGCTTTGCGGATTGTTAGCTAACTCACTTTTCTGCCTACAGAGACATGGTTTTTATTGAAAATGGGAAATTTTGTTTTCTTGTAGGTAGAGCTCCGGGTGTCTGAGGTCAGGCACGGGCAGGAGTTTTGTTCAAAGAAAAAAGGAGGAAAAAAAACCCCACTGACTGACTTTAAGTTTCACTGTTGCTAGACTTTTAGCCAGGAAGGCAATTCTCACTTTACTACACAGCGACTGATTCAAGCTGGAACTGATACAGTCAAATTCCCATGGTTATTCTTGGAGTTAGATTAGCTTGGCTAATACAAGCCTTTTTAACCACATCAAGAGAGTCACAACGTGTATAACTTAACGCTATTTATCTAAAGGGTGGATATCAGCAAAATAGATACAATAAACTACAGCTGGAAGAATTTGGCTAAACTTTCCTAGACTACACTTTCCGCCCCAGCTCTTGCTTCCGATGGGAGAGTCAGTATGGCAGAGATGGAGGGAGCAGAGGCAGAGGCGCTCAGGAGGCCACCGGTGCCTGTCCCAGGGACACGGCCTGGCCTAAGCGCCCGAGAGGAAGGGCAGATTTCTCATCTTGTTCAATATGTGAGACACCACCTCAAAGGGCAACACGACAGGCAGGAAAAGCACAGATTTCTGAGCTATATTGAATATAAGGAGTGAAGACGCTGCTTCTCTAAGAGGCCCTGCAAGGTTTAGCACCCATGGAGGAGTGTGACAGCCTCTCTCCAACCCCCTGGCCCCAGACATCACTTGACATGGGCTTGTGGATCAGCCCCTGGGCCAGTCAGTTGGGTCTGGCGTTTGTGCTGACCCAGCCTCTACTCCCAGGCTCTTCGCCTTAATGCCTAAAAAAGTACTTCTAGCATGACTACAGCTGTATGGATGAGTATTAATGGCATGGGGAACTGCAACACAGATTGGAAGCTACTGAGTGCCCATTAGCTCTACAGTGCAGGAAAACCTTCAGGATGTGAAAGGTAAAGAGCAGCAGAAGCAGAGCCCTGCTTGGCCCTTCCCTGCACCCAGTTCTGTCATTTAAAACCAGTGCAAGCTAGACCTAAAATCCTAGAAAAGCAGAATTTGGTATCCTCTCACCCATGGACAAGGATGCAAAGAAAATGAGAAAGAGACAGACTCAGGGGCAAAAAACAACAATAGGCCTAAGTGAAACATCCCAAACCTCCCAGAGGTGATGGAGTATCCTGAGCCAATGCCTAATGCCCCAGCTCAGCCCTTCTCTAAGAATAAGAGATAATAGCAATGGAGCTAAAGAGAGTGGCTGGGAATGGAGGGAGCTAAGGGCTGAAACACAGACACTGCTCCTAGCAGTCACAGCACTGTCTTCTCATGGATGATTAAGAGCCAAAGACCAATAAAGAGATTTTCAGTTCACTTAATTAGATGTCTGCAGAGCACCTGAGAGTTGAAAACTCTTTGGTATGCAGCAAGTGTTTTACTATGAAAGTAAACAAAACTTCACTTACTGCCCCACAGTGTTCTCCTCAGATATGGGCAGCCTCCACAAATCGCCACTTGTATCTTTGATATACAACATTTAACTTGTCCAGGGACAAGATCCTTTGTATGAGAAAGTAACCCGCTGTCAACTGTCGTAAAATCATCTCAGCAAGAAAGGGAAATAAGGGCCATCTTAAGGTGGAAGAGGTCTCAAGGGTTGGAGCTAGGGCTGTAGCAGGCTTTGGGCAGACAAGAAAGCACAAGTGTGCAACACATTTTAGCAAACTGGGAGAGCTCATATTTGGTTCATCTGTTTCTAAGCACTAGTACATGAACTAGAGAGCATTGATCCCACCATCAGGGAGCCTCCAATTGTATGACCAGTGTGATGAGCAGAAAGAAATTTGTTCGCATGTCACTGTGTCACAGGGTGGGGGATCCGTTTGGAAACAGGGAGTGTATATGGAAACGGGGAAATGAGCTTCCCACCCATTCAGACAGCGTGTCTGGAGTCAGGCTGAACAAACACACCCCGTTCCTGCTTCTGGCACAACAGATGTGCGTCCACAAATAATTCACCACCGAAACCACCTCCCCAGGCTTCATCTCTCCAAACTATTCTGGGTTTGCCAACAGCTTTCCTATGTAAGTCCTGCATGGAGCCTCTGCCTTGTGCTCTGAGCAGATTCATTCTTGCTTCTGTGCTAAACGCCTTTATCTGATCTGCTACAAACTGTGGTCCAGATTATGACTTTTTTACTCACAGGGGTCATCAAACGATCACGCTATTACTCCCATTAAAAATCAATGGAATTACTCGTGTGAATTGTTGTTGCTCATCGCAATGAGAGCAGGCTCAGAGCACTGGCCCACTCTGCTGCTTACTATTTGTGCACAGCTCTGAAGTTACTTGGCTTGCAGGAAAGGATAGGAACAAGATTTCAGTGGTACCAACTCTCATGACAGCTAGCCTTTTTGTTGAAGCCCCAGTTTCTCGAGGGGATTGTCTGAGAATCAGCCAAACAAAAACTCTAGCTCTCATAGTGCAAAGCACAAACTTGCAAGCACGGCCCAACTTCATCCTTAGAGGTCCAGAAACTGGAATACAAGTAACAGCGTCCCACTGCTTTTGATATAAATGTGGAGAACTCCAGGAAGCTGCTTCAGGCTTTTGGACACTTCAGGGAGGGGAAAGCTGAAACTATCTGACTGCAAAAAACAAAACTGCTGCTGCAGGGTTTTCAGAGCAAAGTAAATCACATCCCTATAGGCCTCTGAGCAAGGGTGGGTCAATCAGACAGCTGCGTGTACTGAACACCTTCAGCTGATGTTATCTGAGCTCAAGAGCATATATAAGTTGTATGGGAAACGCAAGAGGTTCAGCCAATATCTTCACTTAGAGC